GGTCTCTTTTCTTTATGGTGCTTCTGTGTACGTCACAGCTTCAGGAAAGCATTTCCGACCCCACATTGCTATATGATTTCGAGTCGTCAGGATGCCCCCTACCCCTCTTAGAAGTTCTGAAACGCTTAACTGAGACACCCTGTATATATATATATTGTAAATGAAAAATAAGCGAAAAAGTGGACAGGTATGATAGCGAAGGCAGCATTAATATTCAGGATAAGAAAGGACTGCGATATGAGTGCACCACTCACAATTTAATAAACACATGAGAGAATTAATGGAATATAAAGTTGATCAAATAAGGTTGCGTCTACAGCAGAACATCCTAAAGTAGTTCAATAGATTGCACCATAACTTCACTCAAATCAGGCGAAGTGCTCACTGTTCTAATTTTCATTCTAAAATTGCGGTAAAATAACCTGCAACTGTAAAGTTTACGGTAAAGAACATTTTCTACCTACACTGTTTTGAAACCGTTTGCCCCTAGTATGGTTGAAAAAACAACGCAAGCAAAACTAAACGGTTTTTTAACATTTTATTACTAGCACACGATCTTAAAAACCATAAAAAAATTTTTAAACTTGACATTGGACATAGTTTAGCTTTATGGTGCTGTCATCTATGTGTGAATGGGAGCATGGTGTTCTAATAGCTCAGAGTCACAAATATGGAGAATCGAGACACTTGAAAGTTTTTCATGTGTTGAAGGGAATGGAGGAATTTTGTGGTGTCATGGCTGGGACTCGAACCTTCGTTCTGCTGGTCATGAGATTAACAGATTAGCCCTCTTGACTATAATATGCACACAGCTGCCAGAAACTAAATGGCTTCATTAAGTGGACCTAGTTGGTGTTATAAAATTCTGGTTGTTTAACCTTATTAGGTTAAAGCAATTAAGAAACGGTTTTTCTCACAGTTAACAGTTTGAATACCAACATATTTATGGTTATTTGACTGCTTTGTTTGAATATGGTAAGATAACAATTAAATAAATTGTTGTTTAACCATTTTCTCTGATACATTTCTAACAGTGCACTCAGATGACTCATTGATTACATGTAATTTTTCCCCCAACCACGGCAAAGGATTCATGGGAGATTATGTTGTTTGCTTGCCCTGATTCTTGGCAAATCGGATATTGATTTAATAAAAATTTTACTCTTAGATCGAATTCGTAAGAAACAGTAACAGGTCAGAACAGTCGAACTTAAATATCAGAAAAATGCTGAATTTTTGAAGTAGAATCTTAGTACTACGCGTTATTCTGCTATGTATGCATCCTTTTTAAAACAACGTTACATTCACTTAAAATGCTATCATGCGACCTGATTAATTCGTTATTTGTATTAGACGGTACCCTTCTTCTATTCTTAATTTATAACCCTGGAGGATGGTACTGTTATTGTAACTGTATATGACTCTATCAAACGGAAGCACTTTCCACTTGAGCAATCCATTATCGAACCTATTTTTATGAAAAATAGCATCCATTCGTCATTAATGGTTTTTTATTTTCTATAAGTGTCTATCAATGCTGTTAAATTTTTATATTCTTCGCATGTAATAAAATCAACTAGTTTTATTTCAAGAAAGATCCCAAGGACACTTATAATTTTTACTACAGAATAAATAAACTTACCGTACACATCAGCTCGTTGAGAAGATAACGTATGAAAATCTAAATTTACAAGTTCAGGAGCAGGAAGATTAATTTTGTTAGCCTCTTAAATATTTGCAATGCCTGCTGAAGCGATATGTAGTGAAAGAAGAATCCATTTTTGTAGAAAAGAAGGGACCAAATATGGAATTTTAGTTTTGATTTCGACGTTTAGTTACGTTACTCACAATAATTCTCCGTATTTATTTGTTGGTCAAATTCTTCTGCAATCTCAATAGATTCATGCTAACACTGCTCTTTATGAAAAACCACGTAGATTTCGGAAGAGATAAATGTTATATTTCATACAAAAACTTTTTTTATTGTTACTTTGCACTCTAAACTTTACATTTTTGAATTTGAACACCGCAATTTGCAAAATCTTAATACTTAGATAAATTAAAATTTTAAAAAAAGTGAAATGTAAAAACGAAGGTTTCAATTTTAAGAAAAATTAAAATTTACGTTTTTGACCCATGAAAATGAAATCCATTCCGGGAGACAAATATTTATTAACTTGACAAAAAATTTCAAAATTATGTTCATTTGATCAATATTTGACGACAGTGAGATTGTTTTTTTATCTACTTGAAATTTTTGATTTAATTTTTTTTTCGTGATATACCCTAGTTTCAAATACATAAAAATTTCAAAATAATTAAATAAGTATTAAAACGAAAATTTTTATGTCATGTATTTTAGAAATGCATAAAATATTATATATTTTAGATACCTTTATTAAATCCTTTTGAAATTTCAATTTGAAATTTGCCATGTAATCAATCATATTTTTAAAACAATTTTATTATCACGAAATATTAAACTCTTTAAAAATAATTTTTATATGAAGACATGCGAAATAAAAAAAAAGGTATTTTCTTTTGACTAAAGAAAAAATTGACAAAAAAACAACCTTTATCTGAACAATGCATACTGTAAAAAATCTGCACTATTAAATAGTAAATCTCTCAATTTTCTTGAAATTTTCTTGCAATACGACAAATGTTTTTACTATGTTTACCCATATTAATGCTTCACCTTACTCACGCACTTATCTTAAGTTTCAAGGCAAACAATTTACATAATTTCATGTATTGTAAGATATATTTTAAGTTTTCCTTTAAAGAAAATAAAATCTACAAATTTTTAAACAAAATATATTTAAGCATAAAAATATGCTGCAAATATAAAGGAAGCTTATTCTATTGCGCATTACAAGAAGGCAAATCCTTTTTTTTCAACTGAACTGAAACTTAAAAACAAAAATAAGAACTGGAAAACAGAATTGATCTAACCACTGATTCTTTACTGTCAACTGCTGTAAGCCATAATTGTCCCGACTTGAGTGTTTGTCACCGATTCCTTTAAGAGAATCTTAAGAATAATATGATTAGTGAAAGAGGAAAAGATTGCATGTAAGTGCTCTTCTTGGATAAAATGTTTTTATCCAAGTTATTCTTACCGTAAAAGTAATTGCACCAGTGTGATCTTGATCAAAAGTGTTGAATACGTAATGAGCATACTGGCTAGTGTCAGCACCTTTTGGAAAATACTGGGCGTATATTCCTTTGAAAGTCTCTTCACGTACCATACCAGAAGGACATTCCTGTAAACAGAATAAATTAAGTGCACACTAACTTTCATTGATTTGTATAAACCTATTGTTTTCTTTTTCTTTAAGTTTTTCTAAAAAATAGGGGAGAGTGGGGTAAATTGTAACAGGGTACGATTGTAACAGAGCAAAAATTTCGAGTGTCGGGTTCTAGATTTGGTTCCTAGGTGGCGCACAAGGTGTATTTAATAAATCTACATGTACACCTCTGCTGGCAACCATTTTTATGTACTTTTGAAAGAGTTACATCACAAAAGATATTTTCAAGGTACGTAAGTACTTTTTTTGGTATTAGAATATTATATTGTAACAAAGTAATTTTGTTTAAACAAATAAAAATTATTAACCGAATATGCAAGTGGACACCTTAATCAACATTTCAATAAAAATGAATTAGTTTTGTTAATTAACTAGCAATGTTTTTAACAAATGAAGCTGAAATGGCGTCTTGGGAACGATTGTAACAATAAGTAAAGGGACGATTGTAACAGCTGAAAATAAATAATTTTATGTTTAAAAACCATTATTTAACTCTTTAAGAACCACCAATAGTTTCCTATATCATTTATATTATGTTGCATGTGCATTATTTTATTTTTCACCTTTCACAGCATAAATTAAAATTCTTTACCCCTTAGTCAAAAGTTTAACCCTTTAGGTCTTGCTCATTATTATTTTTAATCCTAAAATATCACTACTATTTTGATCAATAAAAAAATATATCACAACTATGATAATATGTATAATTAACTATGTTTTAGTTGAATTTATGAACTGTTACAATTGACCCCGTAAGTGGGGACAATTGTAACAAGTGCACGACTGTCAAAAATTGTTAATAACTAATATAATAATATTTAAAATAAGGTATTTTATTTTTTTTCTAGTAGAGGATAGTCTACTTTACTCGTCTGTCAATTAATACTAATAATATATTGGATTTTTTTGTTAGTTAAAAATAGTTAAGTAAAAAATTTTACAATTGACCCCACTCTCCCCTATACAACTTTTGTCTTTATCCTTTATTCAAGCAATGAAACCATTTTATTTCATAATTTAGTATTCACAAAAGAATCTGTCTTAATAGTGTTTTTCGAAATCAATTAAAATAAAAGTAGCGGTAGCGTCTTAAGGCAAAACTATAGTTTTAAATCATATATTTATTTTTTGCTATGAAGAATTATATAGGCTTTACAACAAAGAAATAAAATCTCGCCAAATTAGCGATTTTTTAATAAAAAAAAAAGGGTAAAAGCTTTTAAAATAATTTATTTTATAATCGTTCAACAATGGTTATAAAACAAAATCTTTGAAACGCTATTAAAAATTTCAGAAATAGCCAATTTGGCGAGATTTTTCCACTTAAGAGGATAATTATCAAAATCAACGAATAATTTATTTTCTTTTGCGCTAATTTTTATAAGCCCAGATAATGCAGGGTTACAGTAACTTTTTTTTGACAAATTAGCTCACAAAAGTGCTTCATTTTTCACAAAACTGCAGCTTTTCTGCGTGTTGACATTTCGCGCTATTTTTATAACTAGCATAGATGGAGCTGTCCATAGATAGGTAAAAATTTAATTTACAAATTTGTTTAATTATTAGAGAATAACAACAGTTATATAAATAATATATTATGCATCAAAAAGTCTTATTTTGAGTGACGACTAAGCCTTCAAAATTAATTCTCTTTAAACCTTCCATAATGTCTTTAATAATCCTAATAAACCTAAAATTTTCTTTTTAAGTTAGGTTTCCCACTTAAGAAGAGATCCATACAATCGGAATATCTAATTATTTAACATGTTCAAACTTCCAGATGCATTGTAATTTTAATTGCATTGAATCACCTTTCACAAATGATTTTGCCTTATATTTCTTATGCTCTTGTGGAAAATGATTCACCTGACATCATGTGTAACTAACATACTATGGTTTAGTGATCAAATCTTAATATTATAATTTTCCTTTTTGAACGACGTGCTAAAAAGATATTTTAACGAAAAATTTTTTGAACAGAAATAAGTGAAAGCAGTTTTTAAGACAGCGGTTAAGTTAATAAGGCATTGAAATATCGACTACAAAGCTAATTTATCTATTGATATTTCTAGGGAAAAATAAATTTGTATATTAGATTATGTTTAGTGGTTTTGTTGTTTCGTCAGTTAAATATTAATTTGTGACAACCCATGCGCACAATGTGTATACTTTTTTGTTTTCATTTTTTGATAAGGACTCCAATAACATACATTAAGAGTTTAAGAGTGGTTTTTACGAGACACCCGTTTATATTATCTAAAACATCATTATCTTTATAGTATTATATACATATATCTAAAACATATAAGTCGGTATAACTTTAATATTTCATTCCAGAATATATTAGTTTAGAAATGAAATGCATTTTAAATTAAGTCCTAGTGGGTCCACGCAACCTTTATATATGTCGGTATAGCTTTAATTTTTCATTCCAGAATATATTAGTTTCAAAAGGAAATGTATCTTAAATTAAGTTCTAGTGGGTCCACGCAACCTTTATATATGTCGGTATAACTTTAATTTTTCATTCCAGAATATATTAGTTTCGAAAGGAAATGTATCTTAAATTAAGTTCTAGTGGGTTTACGTAACTTTTATATGTGTCGGTATAACTTTAATATTTCATTCTAGAATACATTAGTTTTAAAAGGAAATGTATCTTAAATTATGTCCTAGTGGGTCCACATAGCCTTTCGTTAAGGTAAGTAAAAATAATACGAAAATATAAATAAACATTGACGTTGCGACTTAAAAATTTTTCAAAATAAATATAAATTCTATATTTGTATTTTTTTCAGAAAAAAAAATGAAAATAGTTGTTTGAAGAGCTATTTGAATCAGAAATATCTCATAAATTCCCTCAAAAGTAGCTTAAATAATATGACTTAAATCTAAAATGCGTTTTGTGCAATTTCAAATATTGGGGCTATTCAATGAAAACCTTGCATGCATTTTTGAACGCGAGTTAAAAGCAAAAAGAGAGAAAGATCTTGAAAAGGAATAAAATCTTACCTGCTTGAAGCCTCGATACATGAGTTGAAGTTCTCTTTTGTTGAATTTTGTCAGCTGACATAGGGTATCAATAGCTTCCGGCTTGAATCTTGCTTGGGCTCCATCCATTTCATCGAATTCACTGTCTGGAAAAAAAGAGCAAATACTCTCCAAAAGGCAGTTCTATCAACACAAGTCTATATAAACACTATAAATATAAATGATTTCTTTAAACACCAGAGAGCTAATATTTGTCATTTGAGAACCATCGGAATAACACAAATATTAATTCTATATTACTGTTTGCTTAGTTTTTGGTGCAGCAACATTGCGACAGATTAAAAAAAAATAGTTTATTATTTTTAAAAAAAATATATATCTTTGATAAATGCTAGTTGAACAGCATGCTTATGACTGATTTTTTAACTTTTTTTTATTCTTTGATTGCAGAAAATATTTTACATGTAATTAGTAGTAACGGTGGCTCAGGGGATAGGGTACTCTCATTCCAAATGGGTGTCCTGGGTGTATGTATGTATCGGTGATGTCTACATATTACAAGTTCTAACCACGTTTTAGTGAATTCTTAATACTTCCATTAAAATAATTAACTGCATGTTAATCCCGATTATTTGTTTTACAGCTCCTGTTGCAAAGGTCTGAGTTTGAAGAGAAGTATAATTCATTTCTGAGCACCTAATTGTCATAATAATTGGAACAAAATATTACTGAAACTTGACCTTCAGTTGCAGCACATAGTTGCGATTTTTTATAACACTTACTTTCAGCTCATTGTAGCCTATTGCAACTTACTTTCAGCCCATTTTAATCCTAATAATTGTTCGTATTTTTTTCATTCTTAATTTTTTACTTTTATCTCTGCTTATATTGTCAATTTTTGCACTTAAAAGCACATTAAAATTTATTTCGGACTAGAAAATTATCAGAACAGTTAGAAAAAAAAGTATTTAAAACTAGAACTTTAGTTACAGTTTATAACAGTAAACTTTTATGACATGCGGCTATTGCAAATAGCTGCCAGCTCCTCTTAATGCATTCCTTGTACTTTCACCATTAGAATTGACCTAATTTAAAAACCTTTATTTTTCATTCTGAGCTATGGTTACAAAGACTACTTTCGCTCTTAAAAATTAAAATTCTGAACATATAATTGTTAAAATATACAGTTGTGAATACATTTAAATGAGCTAAAGCAATTACAGGTTGCTATTCAAATAAATTCACACTACTTTTATCATAAAAACTGATTGCGTTTCAAGTCCAACACTACAAGAAATTATTAAAACTGAATCTTTAGACTCAGTTTATTCAGTCACTCTGGTAAAATGTTGTGATATGTAGTTATTTTACATTTTTGCCAGATTATTTTAATGCATTCGTGATGCTTTATTTATAAGATTTGACAGTATTTTAAAATCTCGATTACAGACCTCTCGAATACAGAAACTCTGGTTGAGGAACTCATCTGTATATAAAAGTGCAATGTTATTGATTTCTGAACACATAATTATAATAACATTTAAAATAAGAAATAATTACAACTAAAATTTTAGTTGCAGTTTATAAGATTAAACTGTATGAAGTATAGCACTGATATAAATTTTAACCTCTGACAACAATTAAGTTTAAATTTAATTTACAATAAATTTATATTTCTGTTTATTGACATGACTTTTTGTAATATAAATTATTACAAAAGTAATAGATACAATAAATACAATAAAAATCAAAAAATACAATAAAAATATTTTTTTCCAACCAAAACGGACAATTTAAGACATTCATGATGCTAACTGAGCTAATGCAACACCAAAATAAATAAATAAGTAAATAAAATAAATTAAATAAATAAAAATAAAATAAATTAAATAAATAAAAATAAAATAATATCCAGTCGTTAACAAATAAAATTAAGAGTATGGAGTTTGAATAGATTGGTTACTTGACAAAATTCTTACTTAATAGTAGCTATAGATAAGTTATGTTTTGCTGTGTAAATGGATTGTAGAAAAAGCAATTTATCGTTTTGATGCATGTCCAAAATGCATCGTACGAAACCACGCTATTATTTTAACAAAAAATATATTGAATTAAGTACTTTAAACTTATTTATCTATCCTTGAAATAATTCTTTAAGCATTTAAGTATTTTCTTATGTTTCTATGAAATATTTCTGGAACAAATATCCTTGAAATAATTTTTTAAGCATTTAAGTATTTTCTTAAGTTTTTATAAATATTTCTGGAACAAAATGCCATTTTTTACGCATGAAATTTAATATTGTTTAATGTAACGTTTAATGTATTGTTTACTGTAACAAAAATGTAACGTACGCAACACCGATAGTCTTTTAACATAAATTTAGTATTTAAGACAATCTAATGTCCTGAAATTCAATGATAAAATTTATTTTAGTTTTGATTTTATTTAAATAGAAACTTATATTGCATAAGTAGTGAATATTTAGTGCATATAACATAAATACCAATAGAATTCAAAATTATCTGTTATTACGCTCTGTTTCCCATCTTTTCGAGCTACGTCGTTGTAGCAATTATTAATTGCTGTTAATTCATTCCATGTAGTTAATATATTAATTACTTTTGCTTTCATAACTGTAATTAATTTGAATGATCCCAGAATTGAAAAAAAAGTAATGATTATACATTTTCCCTCATCTTTAATTTTGGCATGAATTTTCATTTAAAAGAGTCTTTTGGAAACAAGTCAACACAAATGACATTTGAACAAATATTAATGCTCTTCATAATGACGAACAGCGAAGGAAAATTTAAATCAACTGCTCTAAAATATAATGCAGATTGAGTTTTGAAACAAATCCAAAAGCTTGTGACACTTTTACTTTAGTTAGTGTATAAATATGAATCAAATTAGACAACGCTTTGCAAATCTATGACTAGTATATTTTCAGTAGTTATTAATATTTTCAACTGACTGTGAATAATATTCTATAGATAATTAAGCATATTATATTTGAGAAAATTACTTTTCTCACAATTGCGAGGTTGATTTATTAATCTTATAAATTCTTTTTAAATAGTGAATTGATTCAAAAATATTTTCTGATTAATTCAGGGAAGTTGAATTAATTTGTTAAATATGCAAAATATATGAATTGATGATCATGTTTCATAAATAATAAGCTAGATTTAATTTAATTAGCGACGAGCCATGCTATTTTGATTAAAAGAGTTTTTTTTTCTTTTTTCTTTTTCTTTTTTGAGTTGAAAAGAAGTAAAAGTATTTTTCTTAAAAGTAAATAATTGGTTTTTCTTGCAAGATTTATTATTTTTCTTACGAATGTAAGAATTTAGTTAAATTTAAAGTGCTAGTCGTGAAGGCTCAAGGGATAGAGCATTCGCCTTCCAATGAGGTGAATCGGGTTTGAATCCCAGTGATGTCTGGTTGATATGAATACAGCATACCCTCCAACTGCTACGGAATTTCCGTAGTTTCAGAAATCTTCTTTTCAGACGGAAGCAAAATTAATGTCTTAATAATAAAAAAAAATTAATTTTAGCGTAACTTGTTCACTATTACTTATAAAAGTACATGCCATATGACTAGATTCTTAAGTTCTGATAAAAGTTTTGTGAGAGATCCATTTGCTTTAAAAATTTCTACTTTGGTTCGCTACCACTAGAAAGAATTATTTTCAAAATCCTCATAAGTTGGAGGGTATGATGCAGCATCCGGCTTGCACTGACCACAGTGCTAACGTAATATATCCTCAGTGGCTGTAGGATTATGGGGTAGAGTCCCTTTGCAGTCAGGCTAACCGAGGGAGGTTCTTGCGGTCTTCCTTTCCATGTAGCGCAAATGCGGGTTAGTTCCATCAAAAGAGTTCTCAACGAAGGCAAATTTTTCACAATGCGTGATTTAGGAGTTCCCTTGTCTTCTGGATTTGATTCAAAATTATAGGGCTACGGAGTTGAACGTTATAGTCTTAAACCCAAAGAAATTGGGTCTGCTGCTCAACGACGGTTATAAAATAAAAAAATAATAAAATTTAATGTGCGTAAACACTTTTCAGAATCAAATGTCATATATTAAAGAGAAAAATTGCAATACATTTTATTTCATTTTTTAACAATTTTTTAAAAAATTGTTAAATTAGTAAATTGTTTAACAATTTTTTTAAAAATTGTTTTGCTTAAAATGGTTTATTTGAATCTTTAAATATCGAATAGAAAACTGAATAATAACTGAAAAAAATCAACATTACTTTGTAGTAAATTGAAACTTTAAAGTACGATTTTTAACTATGAACCTAATACATTTTACAAACTCGTCCTTGATTTTAAATATTTGCTGTACAATGCCCAAAAATTTAACCATAGCCTGAATAATTTCAATGGTCGAGTAATAAAATGTTATTTAATAGTTCAATGTTGATAATAATGACAATTAGGTAGTGAAAACGGTATTTTAAATTACGAAACTCAGACTCAAAAACTATAATTTCCCATAAATACACAGTTTAAAAAATTTCACGTCTATGTTACTGTCAGTGATTAAAAAAAAGTGTTCCAGCCATTGACTGCTTATGATTGTGAAGTTATGATGACCATTAAAATACAAACCTTTCGGGAAAATTTTTTCTCGTAAAATATTATGGACACACACCATAAATTAACATTATGTTCGTAAAAGGTATCTTTATTTCGGGAAAACTAAAACATGCCTATGATTTTTATGTCATTTCAAATTATGTAATTCTAAATGACAAAGCCTAACTTCAACATAATTTGTCAAAACATTCCAAAAAATTATTTTTTCATTTTCTCAAAACTTTTCGTTCAAGTTTCATATACCATTGAGAATTTAATAGTTCAAAATTATATAAAAATTGGTGGGAGCATTATTTTCTTTTTTTTAAACTTAAGAAATGCTAAATTCAGTTTTTAATTGTTATGAAAGAAGACTTTTACATAGAAATACTTCATTGTTTCAAATTAGTATTCATTTGGGGAAAATAAAATCAGCAATATTCTTTATTTTGAATGTCACAAACAAAGCAAATTTACCAATCACTCGTATTTTCTTAAAAATCATTGTTCTTATATTTAAAGAGAAAGGGTATGAAAATATTTCGAACTAAATA